AAAAATCTGCTGAAACATCAAAATCTTAACTACCATCCTATTGGTCTTCCTTAGGGGAAATACACTATATCATATTGTTTGTACAGGTGCATGACTGCATGGCACATGTTGATATTGTTTAAGTAATTAAGATTCCTTATCAGAGTAAGAGACATGATGCAACTAAGATACTGCCCATGCAAAAGATGAATATTGACTTCTTTATGAGCAACAGAATCCGTTAGCAAAGTGACTTAGTAACATATGAAAGAAAGATCATGCAAAAGAAAGATCTTGCTAAACCAAAACCTTTTGCAAACATTTCATCATTTAACCAGTCATAATTGATTTGGTGAATTGAGTTAGACAAGAAAAAAAAAAAAAAAGAGAGCTGAAGACCTCTAAGTTTGCCTACACAGGCAGTAAGACCAACTTTCATAGTGTAATTTTTTCTGCTTTAATACTACTAATCAGCCTCTGCTGTATTTTTAAGATGCACATGCACTGCCTTGGATCATGCTTTCCTCTCAAAAAAATAACTCCAAAAACTATCAGCACAGCGCATGACATATTCAACCATAATCATATTTCATTGGACTATATGAGCAGATGCTATCACTGCACACAAAAAAATCTGGAGTATCAGAGTTTATGCTTCCTTCTTCCATCTCCCCATGAAAGATATACTTTATCAAGGTCCAATATAAATCTAATAGCTACAGCTATGTAGTTATATTGCAATATATCATCTTAGTATTTCTAGAAGATAAAATACTTAGAGATTAAATGTATTAAAACATTGGTCTTGGTTTTATATATGCCATCAGCTATCAGGAATGTGCCCTTAAACCCTTTGAAACAACAGGGGGCAGAGGAAGGAGGAACCAAGAAGCTTTTATACCTTGAACCAGCAAGCTGGGTGTATGAGTGGGTAGTGGTGGTGGAGGGGTCATAAAAGTTGCTGGTTAATTAATTAATTTTTAATTGCAAACTTTTAAAAAGGTTGGGTGGCATTCCACCAACTTTAGAAAATTATACAAGAGCTGAACAGTATTTGAGTCAGTTAGTGTAAGTATTTTATGGTCTAGAAAATTTAGATTCAATAGAAAAAAGTTCCTAAGTCAAAGATGGATCTGACAAGAACCACCTAATTAGTTCTTTTACACGTATTCCACTGACAATTCAGTTGCTTTACTACAGAAAGAAGCATTTTTCAAGTGCTGCAAATTCTGTAAATTCAAAGGCATCAAGGAAAATCATGGAACCTATTTCACCTATTTTCACCTTGGAGCTACAATAATAGGACAAATGCTTCATGTATGTGAGCAACGGATAAATGTTTTTAATGCCTTCATGAGAAAGTAGGAAAGATCACAATTTTTCCTACTTAGTCACATATTTCAAGAAAATATCTGACAAATGAAAGGAAGCACAGTAGCATACTTGCTTTATGGATAAACATGCACTCAATTCATACACGCCCCTTTGCATTTTAGGCACAGAGTGAGAGTCCTTTTAGATGAAAATGCTTTATTCAGGGGTGATATCACAGTTTCTCCAAGCAGAAGTCTTGTCTCACAATAGCATATGAGCACCTTTAACATCCTGATGTCACTCACTTAAAAGGGATAATAGACACAAGACTTCTCTCTTTTGGCTGGTTTAATTACCCCAACAGGATGCCAGGCCAGACTAGATGGTGCTTCTAGGTTCACTGTACTGTATGCATTTCTGATAAATGGGAAAAGAATAGATGACCTGGCAGAAGGCTCAGACAATAACATGTGATTTACAGGACATGAATGCAGCTACTATAAGATTTATCTGACATCCCTCTCCGATAGTGGACTGTTGAATATCCGATGGAATGATTTCTAGTCTGGAAAGTCTGCTACTGAGTAGCCATACACATTATTTATTTATTAGATGTTTTGGGTTGAAACCATTTTTAAATGATGCACTTCACAATGCTCAGCCATAAATTTAGTTTTAAACCCTAGAAGGGAGGTAGTGTTATTGGAATGTGTGTCAGACTGAATTAGGATGAGCAACACAACGCTTTTATAAAGTGGCCTTGAATGCAACGTCAATTCTTTCAAAAATGATATTAATGTCAAATAAGCAGGAACACTTTGCAGTAATATTAAATGAAGGATTTCTTTATGTTTTGATAGATTTATATAAATGTAAGTATACACAGAGACACATCTCAAAATGTAGTGTCTATCAAAAAACACGACTGTTTTTGTCTTAGAAAAAGCCTTTTGTCTGTATCTCAAACCACCTGTTTCTCTTTTTACCTTGTGTTAAACATAAAACAATATATCAACATGTAAACACAAAACTAAAACACAAAAGCAACAGTCTTTTTCCATATGCCTAAATAGATGAACTTTAAGCAAGAGAAGAAATTAACCATGTGTCACAAATAGTTTCACAGAATGGTATCTTTTGAATTTTTTTTAAAATCACATCACCTGGGAAGGAGCTTTATTTTCACAGTTGTATGAAAAAATTACTTGTGAGATGTTACTATTCCATTTTGCACTTCTAAGAAAGGAAAAAAAACATACTCCAGCCACAAATCTAAATAAACATCAGAAAAATTTCAGATGTTTCAGAAAAACAATCCAAGTGCTTACATCGCATATACAGTGTTAAAAACAAATTTTCAGAAAGAGGTTAGCATAAAAAACACCAAAGATATTAATCAGAGCAATCTTTCAATTTCATAAAATGATGGCTGACAAATTTGTGAAGTTTTAAATCAAATTTGCAGATACTTACTTTGTAACTATGCCACATTATTTATGTGATTAAAAACTAGTTTTTGACCTGATCTTTTGATCTTTGGCACTTCATCCTCTCCATCTCCTCTTAAAAATTAATTAAAATTTTAGCAAAAGGATATCACTTCACTTCCCACCCTATCTTGGGCCAAAAAAAAAAAAAGAAAAAGGAAAAAAAAAAAAAATCAATCAAGCTCAACCCCATCTCCTCCCAGTATCTGTAAAACGTCAGCTTGAAATTCAATTTCATATCTCTCAAGCTTTCATGTAGCAAAAGACAGTTCACTTCTTAACAAAATAAATCACTTCTGTGATTGCCATGCTGACCTCTTTGAATTAGGAAAATTCAAAGTGAAAAATGTAATTATCACCCCAGAACAATCTGTATACATCTGGAGCTAATTTTAGATTCATTTCTCACATCATTTTTCATATTCTGCCAAAAATTACAGCTGCTATGTAACTTTAAAAAGACTTTAAGGTCTTTGTGACTTTATTGGTTTATTTCTACTATTTCACAAAGAACCTCCTCAGTCTCTGCAACTAGCACTGCTAAGCAATCACGATATCCTCAATTTGATTAGATTAGCATTAAATGGCATTGTGACACATATGACAAATAGATGCATTAGAGCATGTCATTTATTCCTTATCCTTTCCACTTCCCAAAACCAAACAAGTGACATACAGTACAGCACACAACATGATTTTAAAAAAGATTAGATTACCCTACCAAAAAAGAAGGAAAGGTCAACCACTAATTATTGATACAAGCAGCATGGATACCAAAAACTAATTTTTAAAATGGTAATACCAAGCTGTCAGGCACATATTTAATACTTGGATTAGTTTTACTCCAACACATTAACAAATGAACAGTAAAACTTGTATATGGATTTCTTGGTAGCAAGGTTTCTTTTCTAATTTAGATCAGCAGCAAATTCGTATTCTAGAAGTCACGAACAATGTCCACTTCCAGTATTGCCATATGTAAAATAACCATCTCTAAATTCCAAAAGTTCCATAAGGAATATTGAATTCCTTTCAGGGTAAAAATACATTATACTTCCCGAGGAAGATGGAAAAGTAGATGAGCAAAGTTCTAGATACATTCATTAATAATAAGCTCACTAGAAAACATAACTACTCTTCACTAGTTCATTGTAAAATCTATTAGGTGTAATCTCCAGAAGTAATTGTTCTTATTGCACTTTATTGACAATGCAGACTATCGATTTTTCACACCTTCTATGATTCTTTCATTTGTATTCATGAAATGTCTATCAGCACACTCTAAATAAATTTGGCAATATAGGCACTAAAACGAATAAATCGATGTGAAGAAACATTAATTTTGCATTATCCTTATTCGTCAGGCAAGCAAACCATAAGGGTTGTAAATGAAGGTCAAAGGTTTTGAAATGGGTCAGAACCCTTGACCTCTAGACCAATACCATTCCCATTAAAAAAGGCTATTTTAAAGTTTTAAGTAGGGGAATTTACTACCAGAAAGGTATCATTTTTAAGGCACCAAAAGAAAGGCTCAATAAAAACAGTCTTCCATTTAATTACAAAAAAGAAAGCAAGAAACCCAAAAAGAAAATCAAATTAATATAGCATATACAATTTTAAGAAAGTTCCTTAGGCTCTGGCTCTTTTCTAACCACAGGAACAGGCAAATCTCATGTTCTTAAATATCTAAAATCACTTTGCCTTTAGGAATGTAGAATGAACCAAACTGCTGACAACCAGGGTTGCTTTCTTAAATTTTTCTCAAATTCTTAGTACTTGTCAAATCAATTAAGAATGACAGGGTTTCAAAAGTATTTATCACTCATTTCATAACCTCTACACAAAAGGAAAAATTCTATTAATCCCAGAGGATTCAGCATGCCAAGATGCAGAAATCAATCTGTTTCTAGAACCTTAATATTTTATTGATCCTATTTTGTCTTACAAAAATGACAGCATAGAATGACGTAGGCACACCACCATCAAGGTTATGTAAATGTTCAATAGTAAGGTAACATAAAACCCTTAGTATCTTCTCTCTCCTGAGTAGACAAAATTACTATGATTTTATTTTTTTTAATCAAAAGGCCTTGCACATAATCTTTTTACCTATTACACATAACCTTTAAATTTAAGTCAAATTTGAAGTAAAATTTTAATTCTGATTTCTATTGTGCTCAAAGACAGCAATTTCAGACAACGTTGTTACCTAAACCTCACCTGAGAGCAAAGAAGCATCACCAGCTCCACAACTGAACTGCTAGATTTCATGCACACAAGACCTACAAAAGGAAAAAACAGTATACATAAATGCATGCTTATATGGCACCAGCTGTTAACACAAACTATTTTGAAGTGCAATAGATAGAAGCATTTTGACAATGAAAAGAAAGCTGAAATTCTCATACCACTTCCAGTTAAATTTTGTACTTTATCAGCACAAAATAAAAGTATGTATCTGAGAGGGAGATCATAAATTCTGTGCCTCGCATCTAAAGATGCAGCTAATAGTAATACATTACCTCCATTATTCACAGTTTCATAAATGTTTGTATGTCAAAATGATCAGAAGTGTGGTTAACATATGTTATATTAATCCACTGTATCTACATTTTGCTATTTCTTGAAGGATTGGGTCATTATATATGCAGAGAAGGGAAATGGCTTTATGACCTTTGCTTTCTCCATTGCGCGTTCTCCTTTCAGCCCCCAGCTATCAATCAAGTTTCCATTTTGTTTCATGGCAGCAGACATCCCAAACACTCTTATTAGTACTTTGACCCTTAACCCCACACTAAACCTTAGCAGAAGTGCAAGCAGTAACCTATTATATATTCTCAGTTGTTTATAAACTAATTTGACTATTATTATTATTATTATTTGTATTCACATTTTGTTTTGGGTTTGTCTAGGACTGGTTTTTAGGTCCAAAAATTGGTTTCGTGTGTTTATTTTTGTCTAGACAGTTCATACACTCCAAATAATTTTCCTGCTTTTTTTTGATCATCCAATGTATGAAATACTCATATCTCTGTGTATATAGTCTATACTACAGTCAAAATACTTCGAAACCAGATTATCATTTCTTTATCTTCAGACAAGAAAAAAATGTAACTAAATAGGATATTTACTTCCCTGGCAAATAAAGCTTTGAGAAAAATCTCTTTCCTGTTATTCTTATTAAATAAATGAAATAAATTTGTTCACAAGGCAGCTTCCATTAAAATGTTTATCAGCTAAAGCAATGCCCACATGTATAATCAAAAGTAGAATCCCATCTTTTTCAGTCTTACAGAAGACAATTCATAACTTCTTCCTGCCACTTCTTCCTATCCCAAAAGGTAGGCAAGCTAAACTCCTAAACTAAACTTTAATTTCAGTGAAGTTTAATGAAGTCTCAATTTTGATATCAGCAGTCTTCAGGAAAACACTTATCAATGTTTGATACTCTAATTTTGTTTCTGACAATGTTAACCATATTCAGCACTACATACAGGATGCCTGTCCTAATCCACGAAATAAGTAGTTTCAAAAATGTTTTAAAACAAGAACTTTAATTCCCCAGGAAGCAACTAGATCTATTAGTGCAAATACAGCTCATGTGCAAGCAATCAGCTCAAGTAAAGCAATCATGAGCTTCTAACATGGGAGTGCTTCATTACTGGAAGCTGCAACAAGCTCAGGCTCTAATTCAATACACTGCTTTAACTGGACAAAAACTGCAATTTTCACTCTAAAAATCAGTAGACAAAGCAATTTATATGATATAACCAAATTACGAGAAAATTGAAAAACTGGTGTTCACGACTAAATTCAGTGTTCCAATAACATGATTTTTTAAATTGAGGACATTAATGTCTGCATTGCAGAACTGAGCCTCATTTTTAAACAGAGAGAAACCCACCAGTAGAAAGAAAACTCAATCATCTCAAGCTCAAACATTTTAAGCCAACACCAGGAAGAGCCATGATTGTTGTTGTGCACCTGAATCTTCATCTTCTCAGAAGTACCAGAGAATTCTTCTCAATACTGACAATGCATTCCTCTTATCTGTACGACTGCCTTCCAGTTAGAAACCAAAAAGACAGAAGCAGATTCACATGCAAGAGATACACCGTAACATGCTCTGCTGCTATAATTCCCAGGAAGCCTTCTGTTACAGTATCACAGTAAAAATGCAAGCTCTTTGTACTTTCTACACTATACCCTATACTTGACTTTGTATCGAAGTGCTGACCCTGACACCAAGTTTTCTTTTTAAGGCTCACAAAACACATTTCATGCACCAGCTTCTATGGGACAATTCCCTGGAAGAGTTGGAAAACTAAGGAAGAGACAACAGCAGTTGGTCCCACATAATGAGATATAGGAAACTATGAGAGGAGATGGAGGTGAAGAGGTAGCAGAGATAGCAAAGATGACCTCAGAGGACTAAAGACAGAAGGAACAGGAGGCAGTGAAATCCAATGGACAGCACTGTGTGGGAAGGCAGGAAGAAAGCTTCTAAGGCAGAGCCAGCAGAAAAAAAGTATAGAAAGTTTGAGTCTCCAAAGTAAAACAAAGCACACATTTAAAAAAAACTTTTTTTTTTTTTAAATGGAAACTTACTTGTACCTTCTATCAGCAACTCCTGCCCATGGCTGCCCAAAAGAGTCCGAGAAAGAAAGGGAGCAAAATCCACAAAAATCTCTCTCAGAAGTGGGGCAGCTTTTTCCAAAGCATGTTCAAGCCTGTCTGTAATACTAGTAGAGAGATACATGTCATTAACAAAAAAAAGAAGGAAGTTGCTGAAATTTTGTAGAAAGGAGTAGAGTTTTTCACAATGTTTAAGTGATATAAATGTATAAGAAAGAACCAATAATCCTACACTCATATTTTCCCAAACCTTCATTAGGTATTGAACATCAGCAAAACAACATTCTTAAGTGATGTGGGATCAGAATATCAACTGTAATATCAGAAAAGTGAGCCACAGCACAGCTGTTCAAATGTTCAATTGAAGAAGTTACCTCATATTTGAAGCAGAATCCTCAGGCACTGAAGAAACTGTAGGGACAGATGGCAATTTTGAACTAGATGATCCCCTTCCTACAAGAGAAAGTAATAAATAAATGAATTATATAAGAAAACATGCCAGATGTTAGACAACTGCACCAGAAACCTAAGCCTCAAGCTCAACCTCTGAGAAACCATGGTTTTCAAGTGTGTGTGAGGACTAGGTAAACCCTTTCACATCTTTGTAGCTCAAACTTTTTTTGTTGTTAGACTCCTATTTACTTACGTTCATATTTACCAGGGATGCCATGGCAAGCTTTTTAAATCTTGCTCTACCACAAATAGAAAGTAATTCAATGAAGCCTTGCCGCTTGCTTTGTGAAGGCAGACTAGACTGCAGTGGTCCCTTCTGGCCTTATAAGCCATGATTCTCCCTGAACAAATTTAAGAACACTTGCAGCCTTAAGCAGTGAATACAAATGGTGTCTTACACCCTTAATACTCCTGTAGTGTACTAATATATACTAATACTAATATAACTAATATATACTAATACAAAGCCAAATGGTAACATTTTAAAGCATCTCTTTTGGTTACTGGAAGTGCTCATCCAATTTCAAGTAACATGCAGAGAAAACCCTTAATTTTTTGTCCAAAATTAAAACATATTTGTGTCAAAATGAAGCAGAATACAAAATGAGAGGGTATTTTCAACAGCCTGGCTTAAATTTTTGCAACACTGGGACTCTGACAAAAGACAGCTATGATAAAATTCTCCATTGCACTGCCAGCATTATTAGCATGATGGCAGTGGTATAACCTCATTTATGAGTTATTAACTTTGCTACATCAATTATTCAAAGGTTGATAGCGAAGACTGGGTCATTTATGTATCCTACGCTTACAAAAAAAAAGCGATTGTGTTATGTCAAATTGACACTACATGGCTCTCATCAGCAGAGTAGGAATCTGTAAATACTAAATTCTGCTGTTCAGTATATAAAGAGAAATGCAACCTCCATACTGCAGTATGGATTGGTATTAGCAATGATGAAGAGGGGGTAAGCAAGACAGCCAGAGATTTCACAGATATTTGCTGCCAGGACAGGAATGGTGACTCACAAATCTTGCATTGCATTCCAAACTATAGAGAGGAATGAATCTTAGCAGACAGATTTCTGTGCATTTCCCAAGAGCATGACTGCTTCTAGTTCATCTGCAATCCTATCTCTTTCCAGCCTTAGACCCTGTCCTATTCTCTTTCCTCTCACCTCGCCCGTTTCAGATTCTTATGCTGCTGGAAAAGGGGGAAGAAAAAAAAAAAAAAACCCAAACAAAAAAACAGAAAAAAGCGTGAAAGAACAGAGTTTAATCATTTCAGTTCTCACATCTACCTTAGCAAAGACGTGACCCTTTTCAGAACTGTAACTATAGAAAAATTGCTGATCATCTCACCTACACTGGAGCAAGCTCATTTAAATGCAATCTGTCTGGAAATAGGCTGCTAAGATCTTGAAAGTGTCTACCAAAATGTGTTAACTCCAACTTTTCAAAGTCTTTCTACTTAACTGAAGTGGAACAGATTTGTAAAAAGATGGCAAAGACAGATCCCTGAGATACTAAGTTTATTTCTCCTGTCAAATTTCAAACTTCTGCTCCAAAACACTGGCACACAGAGCTTCCCCCCAGAAATGTTGGGGTTTTGTGGGGTTTTTTTCCTGTCTGGGGAAAACGTTTTTCTCTAATCAAGCTTCAAAGGGCACAGAAACTAATAAATTAAACTACTGCATCAAAATGGTGAAAAGTTTTGCTCTTATTTCTTTTTATTTCTTCATAGGTGGGAAATATCTTTGTGAATGTGATTCACTGATGCTTTTCATAAATTCAACATGAAGCCCTTATTTTGACTTTTGTATGGGATGACGAGGTCGCAGAAAAATTTTGAGTGGGCCATACAAAATGGAGGACAAGAAAGTGGGGAAAAAAGCGTTAGCTGAAAGCAAGGTGGAATCCGAATCTTCTGGGCATTGTTTCCTAAATAATTTATCTAATAAAGGCAAATCAAAGATATATTTCTGAAATATATCTTTGGTGATGGCTAGATTCTGTAAATATTTTCAGTATTTTCATGGATATAATTCCATTTCTTTAAGATCTAGTTTTACATAGTCAAACCACCAAAAAGTATTTTGGGTATTCCCAAAGGAAAAACAGTCAAATGATGTGCCAAAAATTAGAACGGAGCCTCCTGTACAGAAAAACAAAACAAAGCCCACAGAGGGCAACAAGCCACATGATTCAGCAGTTCCAAAGACTCCAGTTGTTTGTGGGATACTTAATAGCTACAGCCTTTTTTTCTTCCCCCCCCCCTCATACTTAAGTATGAAGTAAAGTGCATACTTAAGTATGCACAGTATGCTGCCTGTTGGATTAAGACTTTAAAGCAATTATTTCATTTTCATTACAACCTTTATATTTAAATAATTTCACTAGAATTCCCAGCTTTCTCCCTAAAGTCCAACATCCCTATTCTCATTAAACAAGTCCCTCTAACTTGAAAATATTCTTAAGTCCACATGCCCAGTAGTGGACTTAAACCCATACACCGTCCATAAGGGGAAATTAGCGCACTGATCTGGGTAGTTCAACAGAAAACTGAAATGGCATCCAAAGCCTTCAAAATAAGAAAGTCCTCTCAATATGCAGATTGCACATGCAGAATGTCTTGTTATATAAATGCTTGCGTGCTTTTTACTACATATAGAATCTTGACCAGTAATCCACTAATTATTGTGTATATTAGAAAGTCAAAAGTATATACAACTAAAATCCCACCATATTAAATGCATGGCAAAATCAAGGATCACTTCATCAGTAAAAAATAAGACTTTAACAAGTGCAGCATAGTAGCATGAGTTTTACATTTAAATGAGATGAAAATAATTCAGTGCAATACGTAGGCCACAAGCAAAATAACTGAAGGAAAAATTAGAAAAAAAATTAAAGGGAAACATCTGCAAGGACTATGAAAGGGCATAATAGCCATCACGAGGCTAATAGACATACACTCAATCCAGGGTAACTTGGGGATTTTGTTGTTTGTTTTATTTTGTGGGACGGGTTGGATTTTTTGTTTGGTTTCCTGTTTTTACACACAATGGCACTGGTAAAAATGGTTAGAGTGGGAGGTAAAGGAAATCACCGACAACACAGGACATGATTTTTTTTCTTCTAGAAATCAAAACAAATTGTGCATAACAGATTAGGTACAAATGTAAACCTTTATGAAGTTTTAAGTTAAAATCAACTTTTAAATATAGACATAACAGAAAAAGCACCGATAATTTGAATTTGACAACAGCATAAGGCAGGCACCTATATAAACTGATACTCTTTTTGAAGATTATGCAAGGATATTTATGGCCTGAATTTCTTCATGCTTATCATCACCTAAATCCACATTCCAAACTCAGATATATTTCACTAAAAGGAGTGAATCTCAGATTTATCACAGCTGAGAATTTCAGGGGGTTTTTTAGATAGGATTAGGCATACTGATTTTTGCATTCAAATTTTGTTTTGTGGAAGTACTTTTTTGACTTTAACTCAGAAGTGGCTTTTTATTCTACTATTTTTCCTGCCTTTAGTAAAAAAAGAAGAAAATATTTCAGTAGCATATTTTCATCCACAACACACATGTGGGTAAGTGCAGTAGCTACTCAAACATGTGGAACTGGACTGACTTATCTCTTCCTTATCCTTTCACTGATAAACTGGCTCCTTCAAACTGACAGTTTTACAGACATTTGCAAGAACATAAAAGAAAATGCAAATAGATCATCTGTCTAGCACCCTTACAGTGAAACCTTATTGTTTATTCAAGGTCCCCAAAGGTCCAAACAAATAATGTCTCTAGCAATAAAATATTGTTAAAGAAACTCCTTGTGCAAGATCCTTATGCTTTCGCATATACACTTACAAAGTACGCTTGGCAATATGCAAGCAGTGCATGATATCCTTTATCTGGGAGGATGGAGATGAGGTAAAAAAAAAAACAGAGTTGAATTAAATAACTATACCTCTTAATTTTGTACAACAGACCTACCATACATAAATACACTGATGCCCCTTATGAAAGGAATATCTGGTAAAATAATGAGCTCATTCAAAAATACACTTCCGGGGCTGGAAGTGTACAATGCAAGACTACAATGAAAGGTTTTACAAGCTAATATAAGGGATCTGTTACATAAACACATCTGTAGGTTAAACCAAAACAGATTTCACAAAACAATGGTGCACTCTCTAAAGAGAAGTTGCTTTAAAACAGTTTTTATACTGAAACAGTATTAAACCATTTCCATTGCATATCATTAGTATTTGAGATTTTTAAAAGTGTCATTCTGCTTTGGTAACTAACCTTCAACTACTATCACTGTACAGTCGGAATTCTCTTTGAAATAGTTACTATAATCCAGTGAATTTCTTGAACTACCTATGCACTGATAGTAATTCACTTCACACTCATTTTTCTTACTTTAGCTTGTCTCCCGCTAACTTATTTTATTGCGAGACTTCAAGGTTATTTTCACCTATGTATAAAAATCAATGAATACCATTCTTCTTTGCAAAACAAGACAACTGTGGGAGAAAATTTACATTTTCCTATATGTAGGACTAGAATTCAGGAGTCACAACTCCGTTTTTATCTCCTGTTACTGCTTATTCCCAGGTTTCTTCCAAGCATCCACCTCAGCCTTTGACATGGCCTTGTTTATGACTTTACAGTCTGGGAAACAGCCCACGTCTCTGCTCAGGAGAAGCAGAAATCCTGCAGGCAACTCTGTGTGGCTCAGAGGCTAAACAAGTGAACCTCAAAGAACTTCAAGTAAGAGGGGGAGGTGGCAGGCAACAGAAATTGAGTGGAACTTCTCAGTGTTTTCTACACTCAGAGTGTCAGTAAGGACAAGATGCAATTCACTCCTGCTTCCTACAGACTTTTCATTCTCCCTCTTTATAAAAATTATATTTGAACAACCATTTGCAAAGTGAATAGTGAAAGCCTCAAAACTGCATGCTTTAGCATGAAGCACTAATAAAACACATGTGAAATCCTTCAAGTACATAAACAGAGAAACTCAGAGTATCAGAGAAAACAGTGGGAGCAAACTGCAAAACAGTTCAAAAAAGTTCACACCACTTCAGAACACTACCACTGTAATTTAAACACTTAAAAGGAAAACTAAGCGACAAACAAAAATACAAGCATCCCACTAGTATATTCACAATAGCTCAGACAACTCCGCCAAGTCCTGCCTATCCAAACATTAGTCCTGCCTTTCCAATAGCCCTTACTGGACACAGCATGTGTAAAATCTCTGCATCAAATCTCACATCTAGCCTATGAGCCAATCCAAGGAAGAAACAACTCAAGTGAACTCCTCCTCCTTAGATTACTACTAGTAAATATGCTCTTTTGCTCAATACCACCCTCCATAAGAGACAAATGATTGGCTCAACATAGGCCACAAAGGGGCTTTATTTTCTCCATTCTTTCAACAATTGGAGTAGCAATTCTAGCAGACCAACAACCCAAATATCAGACATCAGCAACATACTGTCAGGCAAGTTTAGACCACAAGGGGCGCATTTGTATTCAGGAAAGGCTTTTTGTGCTATGAAATACTCTGCAGCTTGAATGAGTAAAGGTGAAGAAACTTCTCCTGCGAAAACGCCAGGCTGTCTGAGGCCAAAACATGTTTTCACCCTCTTTCAAAGCACCAGAGGAACAGAGTGAGCTTAGATGGTTATCTTTCCAACTTGTCAACACTTTGTATTTGGTAGGCCAGGACATGTCACATCCACTTGATATGAGCTTAGGACAGTCTTAAGGGTCAAACATCTGAGATACTCACAGACCTTGAGCTACAGGCAAGATGCAAACTTCAGGAAAAAATATTGGGAAGGAGGCTGATGAATTCTGAGCACACGCAAATGGCAACGGAGGCATCTGGAACCACATAGACTGACTAATATTTCAACACAGATCCTACTTCAACCAAGCAATTTTGACATCACATCTACAGGTAGAGGATGCTCACATACTATATAAAACTTATTCCCAAATTATGCTTATGTACATATTACAACTAAAACACTATCACTTGCTGTTTAATCCCATTTCAATGTCTGTATCTCCCTTTCATCTCTGTTTTGGACTAAATCGACTCAAGCCTCCACAATAAAGCATTGTATGTTATTATATTAAGGTTCTGTTTGCTTAATCAGTTTTCAAAACATATCAAACAAATGCATACAAAACTCACTTTAAAAAATTCTTTGACTTCAGAAAAAACAGCTGAAATGTATTTTTAAATGTAGCAATGTTTAATAAATAGCCTTCATATAAAATGTGAAAAAGCCCAAAATTTATATTCACTACATAAACCCCTAGTCTCAGCACTTTTTAAAAAAGGATTAAATTCTTTTTTTTCTTAATTACAAAAGTAAACAGACTTACAATGAATGTTAGCTGAAAAAAATGAGAACAATGTATTGATTCTCTGCTGCATGAAAACAAAAATTAGTGAAAGAACATGTGACGAACTCAGGGGAAAATTATATATATTATATTTTGGTTTTACAGGAAGCTCACTTATTGCTACTTGTACCCTCAAATAAAAAAGTTAAAGGCCTTATACAGAACTTTATTTCAAACTTAAATGCATGCAATTTACATGAGCAACATAAGTGTAAACCACTCCAACTCTGCAAAATTTTTGTTTCCATGCCATTATTTTACTGGAGCAAAAAGAAACATTCTCACGTTTTAATCTGGTAAGGCATGATTTAATTTATCCCTTTACTTTTTCTTTTAATTAATTAGATTGCCAGTCTAAACATGTCTACTATTTTTAATCCTGATTACTTTCTTTTTATGCATATCAGTTCAGATTACGTGTCCGATTTTTGCCAAAACTCCCAGACATGCTGGAAGTCACACAGTTACAAACTACATCAGTATTGTTTATTGTCTGGATTTCTTATACATTCTACAGGCACAGGACCACTTATTTTTTTCTTCTATATGTTCTTAAAAGATTGACTAAATCTGAAAATCAGCGTTCATCTGTTTTGTTTCTATTAAAAGCAAGTGAATACTGACTTCAGATATTGTAATAATTAAGCCCACATCTAACCTGCGTAAACCAGTAAGAAGTTAACAAATTAGCAATTATTTTAAACAGTTTCAATATAGGTAAGGTTTTGTTATTTTAAAAACAGATTAGCTGCTCAGAGCCAATCTTCCCCAAAGAACTGTGACATTTTAAAAGACAGCTAATTTTCCTAGTCCAAACATTACTCCTAGACTAGTATAGTGCCACCTCCTGCGATTTCAGTGACAAAATGGATTCTCCCTTTTGCAAATAACAACAATGTACTAGATTTCAATAGCTCTTCTTTTCCTTTATTGTGGCTGGAACAAAACCTTTTTGATTTTCCCAAGAAACGCGATGGGCAGTTGAAGATGGCAACAAATATCTTCCAGACACACGAGTACTAGAGGACGTGACAAGGGATTACATTTTTTTCCTCAGTCTTTGCAATTTGGATATAAGTTCATAAAAAAAGGAAGCAAGAAACTCAAACATTGAAGAGAAACACCAATAATCAGGCATAGATCGAGATTTCCTTGATGAAAATGCAAATCAGTTCTAAGCCTTGATGTTAAACTTCATGGGCACAAACAATTACGAGATCCTACGCAGCCTTGTGACTTAAACATGGCTAAGTAGAAAAGCATGCCTTTGACACAGCATATAAGGTTAAACATCATTTATCTCATACAGAATGACCAGAGAGACTAAGGGTTCAAAGGACCGCTTGCTTATAAACAACCTACTCAATTTTGTCCCCACTGAAAAAACTGTCCAAAGCAATTAGTTCAGCATCAACACTGAATTTGACCTCAGGCTAAAGCTATTGGAAACACTTGTATATAATTTTCAGTCCTACTTAGCACTAACACATATATCCCTGGACAAATACCCTACAATGTATAAATAAGGTTATATTTTACGTAACAAAAAATCTGTAACAAAAAGTAATCTTTAGAATATACCATATTTATACTAAATATAAGTTAATATAGTATGCCTGCTTTACAAAAACTGTAAGAAATCTTGAAATTATGACAAATATTGCTCAGACATTTGCATTTGTTCTGCTAGATGAAGGCAAAAGGAGAACCCCCAAAAAGTTTAGCAAAGCTTTTTTTTTTTTTTTTTTTTTGCAAATACAACACTACTTTTGTGGAGTTTTTTATTTATAAACAGGTTATTTTTTACATTTGTGTAGCTACAGCATCAAATAGGAATAATAAAATGATCTGGAGGATAAACTCTCAGAAAATATCTAAAAAGATGAATTCTTATATTCATGAACCCAAATAATGTCACTGACAATTGGTCCAGTTTAACCTAGAGTCACATCTATTTTCCTGTAAAGTATCTGATACTGGTCTTTGTTAGAGGCACGGATAACAAATGCAGGCCTGCAAGCTGCTATGTGAGGGCACATGACAAAGATATAGACAAAGTAGTATGCAGGATACAAAGGTCTCAAAGGTCCTCTTGTCTGACTTGATAATTTAGGACATGTTATACCACATACACTCCAGTAGTTTAAAAAAAAAGTGTCAAACACCATCTTTGCAGATCATTGGCACATTTTCCCCTAAGCAAATACAACCAGCAATAAGTACCAATATTCTTAGTATAAGCAAGACTCATCTATAGACAGATAATATACACACACACACACACTAATCAGTATTACAATGGAAGGCAACTAATGACTTAATGTCTGAAAAACAATTGTTCTCATCTACAGTGTTTTGAGATATGGATAACTACTGAAAAACATCTCACCTTCACATAACACACAACAAAAGCCAGGTAACAAAAACTTGCTCATTTGTATACAGAGTGAATGGTGAGGAAGCGAGAAGCAAGAGCAGAAGGGTTGGGATTTAAGTTGCTTAATTTACACCCTCACTCACCAGGAGATTCTCCTGACAAATCCGGGGCTTGGGCTGAATCTAAAGAAGAAACCACACTGACAGCATTTGTAGGAATACCCATAGCAGCTGTAGAAGAGGAAATGGTTGATTTCTTCGGTGGTACAACAACGCTCCTAGGTGAAGACAAAAAGTTAGTAAATAATACTGTATGAAGGTTCACACAACATGATCCTTGTTTACATATCTAGCACATACACTTCTATGTCCTGCAAAAGTACCATTCCTTCCCTATTTTCTTTTTCCATCATCTCTGGCAATCTACCTTAAGCTAAAGGACACTTCACCCTTGTTTAGTTTTTATGGTACACTTTAGTATCTCATCTACTTCCGCAAAATCCCTGACAAACAGGCACACAGTTAGATCATCGGCAGGATAAGTGACCTGCAAGTAGGTTTTTTTTCTTTTCACCTTAGTTTCCCTAAGATTTGGTTTTAAACTTCAGGCAACTATTTACAAAAGATATCACAGTATTCAAAATTAAAACATTGAGATAAATTATCAACACTAAAGGTTGCCTTGACAGTATACTACTTCTAGTATTCTAATGCAGAACAGAAGACTAATTGAAGAAGGATACGCTATAGCTAAAAACATCCTAACACAAATCCATGTGCACATACAAACATTCACACATCTTAAAAATATGGCTAAGGCATGAATTTGAGTATATCTTATCAATCAAGTTTTACTTATATAACAAATCAAAACATTCTTTGGAGTTGAAGAGAGACTCCATCTTTTATACAACTTAATGTCAGGCCTTATAGTCAGCATTAAAGATTACACAAGAGGAAAAGATGCAAAGTGACAGGTTAGGCATGGAGATTTATCTCACATGTTACTAAGACATCTATTTATGCTATACCAATTTCAATTAAATTGTAGTACTTTATTCCAAATACCTAAAAGGCCTTGTTAAGCATACGTTAAAGGCATTTTTAATTGCAAGTTAGCTCCATAAACATGCAAAAACCCAACTAATGAGGTAAAGAGTACAGCTGATATATAATGCACTCCCACAGCAGCGCTTACTTTTAATTACCTGGTGTTAACCGTAAGCCGGAAGTCTTCAACATTCAATTTATTTAATCACATCTTTTGTTGACAGTACTATAACTACCCAGTGAAAGTATTCCCTTAATAGCTTTAAAATACTAATTTTGTAAATAAAGTAACTTAGAAACTTGACCCAAATTCAGGTGTGATAATAACAATCAAAGAAGTTTTGTCAAGTATTTCTAAGATAGTTCTTGCTAGAATGTGTAAAAAGGACTGTATTTGACTCCCTTCTTCAGTCCAAAGGATGTCACAGAAGCTAGACCACGTTACTGATTAAAACAACCCTCCTTAATGGCAGGAGTAGGCAGGCACCATACTTGGAGGCAGTACATGTCATATCATTATAAGGGTGACTGCTAATGTTAACTATACACTAAAAAAATAGAAGCAACAACACCTGAGCCCCAAGTCAAGATACCGTGCCTAAACCATGAATTTTGCTCATATGTTCATGTCAGTTTGCCTCAAACATGAACAATGCACTAAAAAAACATAATGTATTTAGATTGTCTTCTAAATTATAGCCACATTACCAATTAATTTTGCATCACCCAGGTATAAGAAGGGGATCTCTCGCTCAAGATTCTGTGACATTCACTGTCTGGAAACTGTTACTACTATTCTATAACACACATTCAAATACCTGGAAGGGGCTGGGAAATTAATACAAGTTTACTGAGTACAAGATGTATCCACATATAGTAAACTTTTGGACATTTCTCCAATGTTTATGATCCAGCACTGAAGCCCAGGTGTGTTCCTTTACAGATTTTAAGTTCTTTTACTGTATAGCTATCCAATTCAAGAAATACTGATCAATAATATTAAACCCAAATAGTACAGACATATTACAAATACGTGTCTATTCATGTGGATTCTGAGATCTCAGTGCACAAGCCAGAAATATTTCTTTGCACACCCACTAAGTTACAGAAAAAATTATCCATTTACTGCTAAGTAATATACACACAATTTTACTGGATGCAAGGTGATATGGGAGAATGTTTAGTGACCAGTTTTGGTGCATATGTAGATGGCAACTGTGCACATATAGGTAGTGTCTGTTCAAAACATACAATCCATGTAATTAATTTTAAATTGGAAAACACCGAATTACCTTGAGGGTAAAAACAAATCTTCTAGCGAAGTTTTCTGTTTCCAGGGCTTAAAGTCAATCAGAATTCTCTCAAAACACCAAATCAGAATGGCTGTGTTCTCTGAATGCCCATGAACGCTGCTGATCCTACTCTCTGACTCTACTAAGAGCCCCAGGAACTATGAAACAGGTGGTATTTTAAGATGTAAAGGGCAAGCCAGACCCGCACCTTAAAAAAATTATACATAAATGGCTGAACTTTGACTAATTTTATATATTAGAACTGCCCCCTTTCAGATGAAAATACAGAAATGAACGTGCTGGAAGGATCAAGAAGGAATTTTAGAACAGGAATAATCTTTAGCACTACTACAAGAAGCTCCTCACAGAGCAAGTAACAGTTCTGGAACTGCATGGGAGCAGGGAAGCCTGTGTGCAGATGGAGCTGTTACCTTAACACTGCTCATCTGCAGCTGACAGTGATTGGAGACAAAAGAAATCCCAGCTACAACAGTCTTCCATTTTCTATGCTGTTTCTGACACATCACTATATATTATCATTCCTTCCTGTAAACTTCTACTGACCTTCAGTAGAAGGTGCTGTATGTAAGTGCTTAAGTGTACTTGGCACTGAGGGAGCAGTTTCAGCAAGTTGCCAGACTCTCTATAGCTACCCAAGGAGAGGTGCATTCAAGCAAAGGAATTAGACTTTTTTTTTTTTCCTGGGCTGCGACAGACAGCAGTAAATGACGACAATAGTCCCTTTTGCTTTTTAAGATCTTTTGTATACCTTCTCACCTTCAAATCTGTAGAAGTTTGGGAATACAAGTACAGCTGCTACTCTCACCTTCAGGAACTTGCTTTCCATGAAGTACATAAAAAAGCAATTATATTCTAACACTTCCATTATAATTTTCAGTATCTCACAATGGCATTCACTTCAAGGAAGATACTCTGATTACTAGCACCAGGAATATGAAAACTAATACACGGCTGCAAAGTAGAGCTGTTAGCAGGCTTTTTTTTTTTTTTTTAAATTACCCAACATCATTTCTTTTGTTTTGACAGGTTTCAGACTTCGAAATACAGAAGAACGTATGCTGCTTTATAAACAGTACACATGGATGTGCACATGTGTATTCCAGACACATTCACCACATGCTTTGAGCAAGAGACACTGACTGTCGCGAAGTTTTCTGAGAAACTCAGGGTGTTTATCATACCTCACTGGAAAAAAAAAAAAGTTTTAGCTTTTAGCTAAAAAAAGAAATAAAAAAATTAAAAAAAAAATTAAAAATCTACTTCATAAATTCTATGATAATTCCTATATTTAAAGGTCATGTTAGATCTTGGTCCTCTCTGTTACAAGCTTGCTTAAGGATTCAGAGTGTTCATGATGCACCACAGCCAAAGACTTCTGCTGTGCTCCATAACTATTCAGCAAGATAAAAGGCAACAGTATAGAGGCTGGAGAAATTGCTGCTTCACATTAAAAAAATCTGAATCTTGGAAGAAAACAGAGGCTTTGAACAACTCACCATAACCTCGTCTCAGACTAGTTCTGAACAGAATTTATTTTAGATAGTGATCTTCAACAGTCAACTGAAATTATTCTGATTTTTCCAGCGAAAATAAAATAAACAGTATTTCTGGTGAGGAAAGAAGGTCCCTTCTCCTGACAGCTGTGTCAATCTGAAGCGCACAGCCAAAAGAAGCGCTGGATATTGTCCAAAAACATGATGTAAAGAAATCCCAAACCCTGAATGTACTTTCTTTCTTCTGGTCAGTTGCAATGATGTTCTGATTCAAAAAACCCTTAAAATAGTTCAAGAACAACAAACCAAAACATCGAAGTATCTTAACATAATTACTTTATGGCTATGCATTGCTGCATTATTTGTAATGTAATGTTTACTACTACATATGTCTTGTCTTTCAGCAGTGCAACTGACCAATGTAACAGTTGCAGGATTTGTTTTAGGAGCTTCCACTTCCAGGCCTTCTTCAAGGTATGAAAGTATGGCTCAGCAATCACATACAGATTCATATTTACCACATACTGGAAAGCAAGTTAAGATATTTGAAGCATAAACATTGGTCACGTTTCTTTATTTAGATTCTGAAATTCCTACATTTTTCCTTCTTTGTGTAGTAATATGATATTTTCTCTGAATATTTAGGTGGAAATGCAGCTGTGTTCAAACAAAAATATTTGCCGTTAACCATCGATGTTCCCTCGTGTTCTTCTTTCAAAAGATTATTTAAATGCTAATACAAGTAAAATGAATGCAACTGGCAGAAAGAATGTATGAAACAGTGGAAAAGCAAGATTAAATACTGTAGTAAATAAACTATGTGGAATGTTTAGCACATTATTAAATCAGGTAAATTAGTCAGAGAAGTGTCTTAAATTAATGCGCTTTCAGCTTATCCCAAGTAACAGGGCACTTGCTTTTAAGGAGTACACAGATAAGAGTCCTTTTTTGTAGCTAAACTGATAAGCATTTCTTAAAAAGCTAAATATTGCTACACATGCGAATAAAATATTCATCAATAAGTGGCCTTATATTTCCTTAGATCTACAAAAATAATATATTTTTAAAAACATCTGTAATCATGCATTAATTTCATCAGAATAGCAACCTACATTAAGCAACCTCACACATGGGTAGAGACATGTCACATGGAAGAAAACCATCCATACATTTTACTCCTTAACATTCACATTATCACACCATTTCACTTAACTCTATACTTTTGGGTTACATTTGTATATGATAACATCCGTTATCATAATATTCAGACACAGGAGAAATAAAATAAACTAGAAAAATTTCACAAAAAAATATTCTTAAGGTGTATTTCAAGCAGACCTCAAGCACTATGGTAAAAATGATAGTTCAGTTGCTTCATTTACATGACTATATTAGATGTTTGCCTTTTTTAATATAAAATCA